AAATAACGATCAGTAAGATGATATGATCAATTGAAGACCATAATTTAGTGTTTCATAGGGTAAAATTACACTTGATAGTCTGTAAAGTTTCATCTTGTAGATTCTCATGAGCATATTTTCTCATCTTGGAGATGCCAAAAGAAAAGTGAGAGCTTTTGGGAGACATAGCATGGAGAAGGTGAAGCGGAAGTTTGGGAAAGAGAGGATGCTGTAGTAGAACGAATTTGGAAAAAAAGATTAGGAGACTCTAATATCATGTAAAATTTGAGAGTAAACCCATGATGATGCGACATTTAATAGTGAAAGGAATATATACATAAATAAAGTCCACCTTCGGGTAAAACTCTTTGTAAACAATAAGAAGGATGTTTGTGTTACATTAACTAACAGAATGTAATCCTCTCAATTAGTGATTCAGTTTAGTATTTGATTCAACTGCACAAATGGTGGGTTTGTTTCTTCAACGCTATTAAGATAGATTAGGGCTTGTACTTTCTTTATGTATATATATACATTAAACATACATAATATGGCCAAATCCTTTATGAAAGGACAAAGTCACCTTAAATTTTTCCATTCTTCACTAGTTTTGTTTTGTATGTTTTTTAGAAGTTGCAAATTGTTAAAAAGAGTACTAATCTTTCATTAGTTTATTGATGCACCGGTAGATTCTCAGAGCCCAGGCCTTTTTAATCTTTTGCAGGTTGTTGCATTTGCTACCTTTTTTAATCATCAGTCTGCAATTGCGGCACTGCATTCATTAAACGTGAGTTCTTTTACTTTATGTTCTTATGACTGTAGTGTTTCTTTTAACATTTTTATGGCTATTCATTAGATGCAGTAACTTTAGTGTTCCCCTGTGCTAAGTCGCTTTGTGTTTTAGTACAAGAATGCAAGAACAACACATAAAATTGGTGTTAAGTCATTTTTCAATTTAGCAGTTATTTACGAAAAATACAAATACAAATCTGCTGGTGTCTTAGTAAATTGCCCATTACAAATTTTGGACTGAGATTTAGTGCTATTCAGGGTGTGAAATTTGATCCCCAAACTGGATCCACTCTGCATATCGAGCTCGCAAGATCAAACTCAAGAAGAAAACGTAAACCAGGTATGCTAATGCTCGCATATTACGGATTGTATTGACTTTCAACACCATGATAATCGAGGTTCAGCTTTTTTTTGTACATCTCATAAATTTCCATTTTTCTTGCACAGGAAATGGTCCATATGTTGTCATTGACAACAGGACTGAAGCAGCAGCTAATGCCCAGGAAACATCAAGTGAAGATGGTAGTATGCTACTTAGTTATAATTCAGATGCGCTACCTTGATTTTATTTCATCTCAATATTGTTACCATGATAACTCCTTGTTCTCGATTATATACCCATTTCCTTCTTATGTTATTCTTCTACATAAATTAAGATGTTAGAGCTGGCAGTCTCATTGAATATATCCTTTGGCACATTTATTGATGTTTGCTTATTTTTATCTGCTCAGGTGACAGGGATGCTGATGATGCATCTGGATCTTACAATATGGATTCCACCGACAAGGTTGATTCAGTTACTACGAAGAGGTTTGTAGGCATCCAGAAAACTTGGTTGATGTGTTAATGGCATCTTTCAATCTATGTCATGTTTAAACATGCGGAATTTCCCTGGCTGAATGTCATTGCTGAGCTTGTAGTTTTTCTGGTAATTTGCAGCGAGACAAAAGTTGATATTGACAATCCAGTTGTATCTGTAAATGTAAGTAGACCTAAGATTGTCTTTCAAACTAAGTTTTTCATTAGAAGTGGAGATGTTTCTATTCCTTGAGGTTATCTCCTTTCCCTTAACAGAAAATTAGTGCCAATTGCGAGAGTTAAACATGAAGAAGCTCTATACCATGGTATATAAAGCACAAACTCACATGACGTTAGTTGCATGAGAAAAAGAAAATCATTTTTGAGATTTATTTTATCCAATTTGAGAATCTTGTTGATTAACAGCTACTGGAAAATAGTGGCATCAAGGTTATCCTGGAACTTCTAGACAGGCATCAGCATGAGATGACATGATAATGAACACTAAATTCTTAATGTACTGGACGTTTTGTGTATTATGGTCACTCTAAATATATTAGTATAGCGTCCAATCTGATTATTACACATTAGTTGGAAGGTATCTGTTTTTAAACTTCTTACATATATTGTTTTGGCCCATACACTTAAAATTCAAATGGTTATTGCAGGAGCCATCTGAAAAGATTGTTGATGGAGCTTTTGGTGTTCAACCATGTTCTACTTTATTTCTTGCTAATCTTGGTCCAAATTGCAATGAGGATGAACTCAAACAAGTTCTGTCTCAGTAAGTTGGAGTTTCGTATCACTGCATGTGTGGCATAATTCCATTTGAATTATTTTTTCCCAAAATTTATTACTTCTGGCTTTTATTTGGTATTTTAGATATCCTGGATTCAGCATGCTCAAAGTGCGTGCCAAAGGTGGAATGCCAGTTGCATTTGCCGATTTTGAGGTACGAACTTAATAAGTGAAACCATAGTCTCGGCGTTCCTTAGTGACTAAGGATCATGCTGGAAAATGCTATGATAAATGAATCCAAAAGAAATATTTTCAGGAAAAGAAAAGCTCTTATCCACTGTCTATTATGCTGCACCTACCTCAGGGTTTGATTATATGAATGTTTTTTTTACCGTCTCTGGAAATGCTTGGCAGATTATTCTACGGAACCTTTTAGCTCTATAGTACCCCTGATTCCTCTCCCTTCTTGCAGATTCTCTGATAAATTTTTTTTTCTCCGATCTAACCAAAATATGATTTCTGGTTATCACGAAGTTTCTTTTACCGGCCATGCTGTTGATCACTTCATAGGAAACCTTGCCCTCACCATCTTGTCACTGCCGAATTCCTTTTCCTAAGGAATGCTGTGAAATTTGTGAATGCACTTTATCTTCTCTCCTGCACATTATGATCCTTATTAGTCACTAAGCAACTTGGTGTAAAAAAACTGGGACCTAGGTGTGACGAACACAATATGAAATCTCTTCTCTCCTGCACAGTAATTTATTAAAAAAAAAAAAAAATCTTGGATAGAAACAAGAGGCATGTTGATTCACTAAACTCTTGGGTTGGTTTTCATTATTCTCCTCATTTTGGCAGGAAATTGAGCAGGCTAGTAAAGTCATGAAGGAGCTTCAGGGCAGCCTTTTACCGTCATCAGACCGAGGCGGCGTGCACATAGAGTACTTGCATTCTTGAATTTCTTCTCATTAATGTGCACATTTATCAAAATTCAGCAGTGCTGATATGTTCTTGGTTGTTGTCTAGATATGCAAGATCCAAGATGAGGAAGCAGTAGGAGATGAGGACGGAAGGCAAGAAACACGTATGCCAGCCTCGCATTTATCGTTCCAGCTCCCGTAGATGTATCAGTATAATCTCATGGGAAATTTTGGTTCAGTCCGTGCAAACATTACGGAGCAGAAGATAATTGAAATGCAATGGTTAGCTGAGGTTTAAAGCTCCAAAACTGGATTATCTTTGGTATCATGTATTTCAAAGATTATATTTTAATTCCAAGCATCCATAGCAATGCAGCTCGTGCTTGTACTATGAGTTGGTGAAAGTGTTTGGTATAGCTTTATTGTAGAAAATGTTATATATTTAATGAATTGTGTTATTAAAAAATTACATAAAATAAACAATTAATTATTAAAATTATTTAAATAATATTGGTACGTGTTTGAAAGTCATCGTTCAAACGAGTATTTTACAGAGAGTCGATAAAAAATTCCATTAATAACTAATCGTTTTGATTCTTTGGAACAACTCAACGAATTTAGTAGATTTTTTTAGGAGGACCCTATGATCACGAATCGAACCTATCCAATTTTTACAGTACGATGGTTGGCTGTTCATGGATTAGCTGTACCTCCCCTTTTTTTTTTTCGGGGTCAATATAAGCAACGCAGTTCATCCAATGATAAACCTAATTCGAATTATAGAGAGCTTATGACAACAAAACCATTTTAATCATCTAAGTTATTTACTTCAAAATATAAATATTAATGTTGTTGCTGTTTTTCTTTTTTCAGTTCTATTAAACCCATTAAATACAACCATCTTCCCGAGGATGGAAGGTTTAAATCGGTGGAGGATTTAAAATTTGTCTGGAAATGCAGCGTTTGGTGAGCTGCTGAGTGCTGAGCCAAAAAAGAAGCCAACTGGCGAGAAGGTGATGGAGAAACTTCATTGGCGTCTCTACTACTCCCATCAGGTAACTTTATCAACATAGTTTCTCGGGACTTGTGTGTGTATGTATGTATGTGTGTGTGTGTGTGTGTGTGTGCGTGTGTGTATCTATATATGAAGGACCACCTTCTGGTTCTGGACATGACTGAGAAATCCATTTCTAACCAAACCCAATGCAGTGCAGACGGCCATTGTTTCTCTCTTTCGTCTCCACATGTTCATCTACTGCCTTTTCTGACAGGTGCCCGAGAGACAGCCTACTTCATGCTAATTTCCCCTTTTTTTTTTTTTTTTTTTCTTCAAAATTTAAACTCTCACCATCTCTGTTTTACTTGTCCCAAATCTACCACTAACAAATAATTATTGGCCTTGTTATAAGTAAGTTACTTATTCTTATTTTTATATATATATACATATACACACACACACACACACAGAGACACACATTGTGGTCTGACCCAAAAATCAAGTGTCAACACGTGACTGGTAAACATCGAGTACCATGACAGGTCTCTACAGGCGCGGACACTTCCAACTTCAAGATAAGGGTCTTGTCATGTCCGCTATCCATAATCATACACGCATACATATATACACGTAAAAAATATCTAATAACTTGCCCTACCAGATATAGACAAGAGTTGACGGTCTTCTGCACTCTGCGAAGCACCCAACTGAAGAAACACCCAATACACCATAATTTACCCGTCTTCTTAGCCTCCAGCCTTGTCTCTGTCACTCAACTCGCAAGTTGCAGTGCGGTGCCCACGTATGAGTTTCACATCTTAAATTTACCTCAATGGAATCTGAAACTCAGAACAGAAATTACAGCTGAAACAGTGAGATTTTCACCGACGACTTCGCCGCTCCCTGCACATTTCAATTCTTTTGTTTCTTTCTCCGTTTGTAAATTATAGCTTATCGGGTTAGAAAAAACTAACTTCATAACTTCCACCCCTTTTGCTCGATATTCAAATTAACAAAAAATGCAAATATTCATCGTAGTTCTGGAGTTGCCATTCCCTTTCCAAAGAAGTATGAAGACCTAATTATCATCAATCACAATTTTACCTACTATACATGAGCAAAAATATAGATGGACTTGGAAAGAAAAAAATTATTACAAAACAATAAAGGATCACCTAAGGGGGAACACTACGTACTTTTATCATGCCCTTAATGGATGATTAGTTAGTTCTTTCATGGACCACTCTTGTGCGATGCCCTGCTCTTGTCCCTTTCTCTGAAAACTGGCCTTGTTGCCTCCAAAGAAAGTTTCCCACTGAACCCTTCTATTGCCTCATTTAAAAGAGGACCACTGTAATGTTGTTGTTGTTGCTGTTGTTGCTGATCTGCCCAAATCCGCCCACTCCGATTGCCCGCATCGTACCCAGGCGTTGATGGGTAATTCACATCCATTATCATGTCACCTTCGAGTATGCGAAGCACCTTCTCCCATAACAATGAAATAAGCAACAAGGCCGTAAAAGTTATCAGACAAACGATAGTGTTAAAAATGCGAAACATGTCTTGTGTCTTTAGACCATAGTCTCTTTTTACCTGTGACATGCGAGGCCTGGCGTGGGGATCTCGCCGTATGCATAATGAGGCTGCCTGAAGCATGCAATAAACCTCGTGCCCTGAATACTCATTCTCAAGCCTTGGATCAACCAATTCTTCTATAGCACCCTCCTCCAGTAGTGGACGTGCCTATTCCATACCAAGACAATCAAGAAACCAAAATAAACTAATCAAAAACAACTTCTCTTTTGCCTCTATTTCTTGTTTCTTCTTTTCTTTGGTAGCCACATACCTCGACAACTTCATTTTAATAGGTTAACCTACTAAACCTATAAAAATCAAAAGGTATCACTAACACATAAATTTTCTCAAGTAGAATTGCTATGTCCCTGTTTTGGTGTTTGAGCGGTTCAAATCTCCTTTGTGATGTTCAATAGTGTCGGGGGGTGGGGACATATCCTAACAGATTAGTGTATGACCTGAATTCAGAAAGCTTACCCATTCAGTGAGACATTGCTGGCCTTTGGGTCGGGAAAGGTCCACTGCTTTTCTTCCTGTAACAAGCTCAACTAACACCACCCCAAATGAATAAACATCAGCTTTTTCTGTGATTTGGCCGCTTTGAGCGTACTCTGGAGCCAAATACCTACAGCACAGAAAGAAATTTAATTTTTTGCAACCGCCTACAATAGGTAGTAAGTCAAAAGCAAAACTGCAGCTCGATATTTACCCAAATGTCCCAATTACTCTGGTTTCAACACCAGTATCTCCATCAGGTTGCCACCTTGCAAGACCAAAATCTCCAACCTAGCAAAGAAAACAAAGTACAGCTCACTACCTCCACAGACTGAAAATAATACTGCACTATCATGCTCCTCAAACATATAATAGCAATATCTAAGAACAAACAGTTTTCAAGCTATTCCCTGTAGTGTACAATGCAAATGCAATTCCACAAAGCATTGTGCATGAGATAGAAAACAACTAGGGCTCCCCTGTCCAAATTTTGAATTTCTAGTATCTCTTTGTCTAATAGCGTTATCAACATCTACAATATCTTACCACTGTAGGGAAGAAGAAATAATTATGTCTAATGGAACTTTTATGTATGGTAGAAACCAACTTTGCAGATTTGAATTGCTGCAAGTAAAGAAGAGGGACTGCCATACCAGAGGTTCAAAATCATGGGTGACAAGAATGTTGTTTGGGCCGCATGTCACGGTGTACGATGCAACCCACTCGGCACTCTTCATGAAGATATCTCAACCTCGAGCGGCACCCACAGCA